AGGACAGGTTGGCTCCCGGACCGCCGACCCACGGCGCAGTTGAGAAGGGGCATGACTGTATGCTAGTCTAATTGGACGGGTTATTATGCTGTCCAGGGCCGCGCGAGCTTAAGTCAAGGTGATCTCACACCCAACCTGCCCCCGTCGTGCATCTCATCATATAGCTTTGCGCTGGCCGCTGCAGACGCGCCGGTCTGAGCATCTCGTGGCTCCGACTTGCCTTTTGCGCCATCCATCGATCTGCCCAGCTACTGTCACTGCTATTGATCCTCCGCGTCGCTGTCGTGTGAATAAGCATCGCCTTCGCCTTCGCCCTCGCCGCCCTCTCGGAGTCTGCTCGCCTGTGCGCAGGAGCCCTTCGGCACCCGCCTCACCTTACGTACCACATTTGGTGCGCGCCAGCTAGCGCAGATCCACTCAAAAACTACCGGGCACCCGCCTTCGGGCAGTGAAGTCAAGCTGGCTTCCACTACTCCCTCCTCGAGCACTCCTCCTCCGCCCCTGCAGTCCAGTCCAGGGCAGTCTCCCAGCGTCGACAGTGTCAACACACCGCGGTCCGCCACCGTCTCCTACCCGCGCCCCGCCTCCACCAAGCGCTCCCGCGAAGACGAGCCATTCTTCCGCTGGCACCAGAACGCTGCTGGAGGCCACGCGATCGTTGACGACTTCACCTCCGACGATATCCTGTTCTCGCAGGACGACGACGACTACGAAGCCAACGTTCCGCTTTTCCCCGCGGCATCGCCACTCCCACAGATCAGCGTCGGCGCAATGCCTGCACCGACGCCCGCAATCGATATCGCTACGAGCCGGCAATCCTCGGGCTCGCCGCGCACCCAGCAATCGAACTTGACCACCCAGATTCAACAGTCAAATTCCCAGGAACGCTCAGGAAGCAGCATGGCTGCGCCAGCGTTGCCCGATCATGCGCACGATTTGAAGCCTCGGCAAGAGTCTGTGAGCATGCTGGGCACCACTCCATACGGTGCCCGACAAATCCCCATGGCCGGACGTCTGGACAGGCGGGAGAGCGCATACAATTTGTCTAATAGCCTGGTAGGCGGCATGAGCTGGGGTGGAATCTCCATGGGCAGCTTTATTAAAGACGAGTGAGTATCCGACCCAGCGGTACCTAGTGGAGTCCGTACTGATGATGAAACTGAAACAGCGTCCTAATGGCCGGAACATCGCCGTATGGGGGAATGAAGTCACCGTCATTCCACTCCTCGTCGTATCTTCCTAAGATGGAGGCAAATTACATGCGAGACTATGTCTGCTGCGATATCCACCTCGATTCGATGCACGAGCTCCTGCAGCACTATGAAGAGGCACACGCAGCCCAACCGACTCAGACAATGGGACGAACACCCAAAGATCAGCAATACCCGAGCAGCAGAGCTGCCAACGCCACCAGCACCGCCCAGGCTGTTCAGCAGCAAGCTCAGAGCCAAAATGGTGGCATGAACCACCAACAATCCATGTATCAACAACCACCCCCCATGCCAATCGCATCTCCAATGTTCGTTGGCCAAAATCAAGATCACATTGGCACGTTCGATAACCTCGACGACATGGACATGGACGACGGAACCCCAGCACCGCAAATTCAACAGCCACAATATCAGCCCCAGCCTCAGTTCGGTCGACAGCAACCTCGAGGACCATCTGTCAATGTAAATCTTGCGAATGCATTCCAAGGTCAAGGTCTCAACACAGCAACCCCTACGACTCCACACGCACCGCAGCAGAATATGGGCTTCCCTCACAATCCGACGGTATCATCGGTAAATACCCCAAGCCTGACCACACAAACCAGTGCTCAACAGACCGCTACTCCTGATCCCTCGCAGCCAAGCACTCCAGCGGAGCTTGATCCCGATTTCCTCGCTTCCATGGGAAATCTTAACAGCTTCGACATGAACGGCCTCAACGCTGGCAATCTCGATTTCAATGGCTTCAACATGGGCAACATGAACAATGGTGGGTCAGCAACTATCGATAATCCCGAGAAACGGTTGCTGAGCAAACAAGGCTATGGCAACAAGGCCTTCACTCCCAACCCGGCATTTACGAACGCGCAGAACAGCGAGCTCGCTAAACGCGTGCGTGAGAGCCAACTACTCAACGGACTGGCTGGCGTTGGAGGCTTCGTGGGCGAGGAAATCAAGCCTTTCAAGTGCCCGGTCATTGGATGCGAGAAGGCGTACAAGAACCAGAACGGTCTGAAGTACCACAAACAGCATGGCCACCAAAATCAGCAGCTCAAAGAAAATCCGGATGGCACGTTTTCCATTGTGGACCCCGCCACGTCAATACCATACCCTGGTACGGTCGGCATGGAAAAGGAGAAGCCGTACCGTTGCGAAGTGTGTGGCAAACGCTATAAGAACCTGAACGGGCTGAAATACCATCGCCAACATAGCCCGCCTTGCAATCCGGACCTCAAGCTTGCCACACCGGTTGGCATGCAAAATTTGAACGCCAATGTCGCCGGCGCAGGTCTACCAGGCATGGGCGAGGGTATGGGCTACTGAGAGTCACGCACTGCACAATAAGCGGCTTAGCTCCGCGGCTCGCTTGCGGTATCGGCGCGGACTCCACACTGCATCTTTCACCGCCCACTGAAAAACATCCCGCATTATTCGACGCATAATTCCTGGCACGGATGCACGACAGCTGCAGCTATGCTATACCTTTGGCACCCAGGGTCTGATCGGCGGCGGCGTTTGTCTGTGTGGGGTTTCGGGTGCACACATATACACACCCTTTCACGTTTCTTTTCATGTTGGCATACAGAGTATCGTTTCAGCAAGGCGTTCAGGAGCATTTGGGATGATTCTCCCCGGGACAGCGGTTATTTCGGGAGAGATACCTGGCTTCGCAAGTCACATCTTGCTATGATACCCCCCC